AGAGTTGTAGACTAAGAAAAGTCAATTACCTAAACAGTATCAACACATGAGGTGCTTTAAAGGCTGAATTGGGTCCCTCCAAAATTCAAAATGTTGTAGTCAGAACCAACAGAAAACATTTCAGAAAAATACATGGATCCTCAGGCCTCACTCCCAATCTGCTACATCAGGAGTTACAGGGAGTATATCCTGGAATCTTTACTTTCACCAACATCTCAGGTGAGATAATACCAACTTCATCAACTTTAAAGGCCTATTTTTATTAAAAACATTTTACTGCCAATACAGTCATGGCTATATTTCTGTTGAATGAGAAAGCACATAACTACAGGAAAAGTTATAATGAGTTTGGTAATAATTTCAAGTGGTTTGTATTTTATTGAGAAGAACTAAGTCTGCAAATTTCAAACTGGTATATAAATGTGACTTTGACATATATATATGTATGTATGATAATATTAATTCAACTTACAGGTAATAAAAGCTGGAGTATGGGGCCTTCACTTTTTTATTAGCCATGTGTCCCCACCCAGACACTAAAGTTCATCCACAGTTTCTGGATCAAGAATTATGGGTCTGCCAACAGTTTCTACACCCAAATTATTCTATAGTAAAATATCAGAATTTTCTATTATGTACCTTCCAGATGAGGGAGACTAAGAAAGAGAGACGTGCAGAAATAGGAACTGTAGTCACAACTTAGGCTGGAATAGAGGGTCCTGTCTCAGTGCGGACGGTGGGCCAAGTGGACAGTGGGCCAGTGGCGGCAGTGGTTTTTCACCAACTGAAAACCAGACTCGAGGTCTTGAGAGGAGAGGAAGATGAGGGAGGGTTCAACCAGCGTCTGTCTGTTTATTTCTCTCCCATTTTTCCTAATTCCTCTGAGAAGGTAGAGGGGGTTTTTTGGTTGTTTTTTTTGTTTTGTTTTTTTTTTTTAACTCTCTGAGATTCAAAATCCTCCTAAGCTGATAAAAGTAATCGCCACCTATTAAAGCTGGCCCCCATCCCATGTCACAAGTATGAACTCTCTCATTTATGTTTCAGTCTTTCCTCAACTCAGGTTTTAGCTTACCACTAAAAGTTCAATTTCAGTCAAAAGTTCACACCAGTGGGGACCTTCCTCCATAGTTCATTAGCCATGGGTCGCTGGGTAAGCCATTTTCCCAAAAAGATTAATTTGCCCAAGTGCATGACAGACTACAATGTAGAGGGTACTAAGCTGCTCTTCTTTCCCAGCCTCGAGATGACCCTCCTCTAGAAAATCTTCCCTGACACCCCTTCACCACCACCATAAGCCTTTCATTTCAGATTGCTTGATAACTGCTATATTTCATTCATTTATTCATTCATATTAATACATGCCCGAACTTACCTAGACACTGAATGAACAAACAGCCAAACTCCCTGCTTTCCTGGAGCTACATTTTGGTGGTGAAGACCCAGAAAATTACTTACGCAAATGGCATGGTGAGATAAGTATTAGGGAGAAAAATTAAACAGGGTAAGAGAACAAAAATATTGCTAGTTGAGTAGGAGAGTCAGGAAGACATCACTGAGGAGGTGTATGAGCCTCATAGGAATGAGAGTGGGGGCGGGGGCAGCAGGATATCTGGACTAGAGCCCCCACGCAGCTTTCTTCCTCCACCTTGGGAAGAATTTTATGTTGTTCAGTTTCTGTACCATCATTATGGGTTGAATTGTGTCCCTCTAAAAAAGGTATATTGGAATCCTAACCCACAGCAACTGAGAATGTGGGCTTATTTAGAAAGAGGGTCTTTACAGAGCCAGTCAAGTTAAAATGAGGTCATAAAGATGGGCTCTAATTCCATCTTAATGGTGTCCTTATAAAAAAGGTTTGGATGAAGAGAAATGCACATGGCATGGGGTAGGGGGGGGGAGAAGGATACAAGGAGAATACCATAAAGGCAGAGATTGGGGTGATACATGTATAAATCAAGGGATACCAAAGATTGACAGTAAACCATCAAATCTAAGAAAGGCATGGAACATTTTTCCTCATAGCCCTCAGAACCAACCCTGCCAACATCTTGATCTTGGACATCCACCTTCCACAACTGTGAGACAATAAATTTATGTTGTGGAAGCCTGACTGACGTAAGCAAAGGTTATGGCACTTTGTTATGGCAACCTTAAGAAGCTAATGGAACTATCTACCACTGTGGAGTTCACCCACAGGCCACCTGTTTCCCTAGGTTCACAGGATAAACCCCTGATTACATGGGGCATCTTGCACCGGGGATGATTACAACTGAACTCCTGTTTCCAGACTTAATTTCTCAATCCATTCTCTACAGTATTAATCTGATAGCTCTGAAATGAAACTTTGATCATCTCACTGGTTCCTAAGCCTCCACCTACCTCCAACTGTCTTCAGAGAAATCTAGATTTCTCAGCCCCAGCTACCTTTCCAATCTTTTTTCCATCTGTGACCCCTCCTGGGTGGTCTAAATTCTTTTCATCTTTTACCACCTCCTCCCCCCACAAACCCCTCCAGCTTATCCAAGGCCAGGAAGACCAAGTTTACTGTCCCTTCTATATGCTCCCAAAAGTCCTTGTGTTTAATACCTTGGTGTCATTTACCACAGTGTGTCCAAGGTCTGTTTGTCCATCTTTTTCTTTTGACCATGAGCTCCTATCTTGGTTGTCTCTCCAGGTGCTAAGATAGTGCCTGACACTTAGGAAGCATTTATGGGATAGATGAAGTGAACAAAGCATGTCATGTTTTAAACAGCTGGCCCCAGAAATATTTTTTTTTCCCTTTAAGGGTCGGGGATAGGGAGGTGACCTTTCAATGGATCTCCCAATAGCATGTGGAACCACTGGAGCTGGATGGACTGCACCTTTCTTTAATGGTTGCAAGAGGAATTTGGATGAGACATTCAAGAACTGGTCCTTGTGTCGCAAGACTGCAGCAGAAGGAAGGGAAGTAAACATTCTGCCAATTCTGAGTCTGGGGTTGACTTATTTTGAAGTCTATTTTTGAAAGTGGCATTTCAGGTTTTTGCCTAGCCTTTGATTCTGCAACTGCGGACCCAGAAATTACAGATAAAGGTGATGGGTGGACAGAAGAATAGGGGATTGTTGCAACCAACAATGCAATATGTTGTGTGCTCAAGTGTCCAAAAAGTAAATATTTTGAGGTTTAAAAATGATTGCATGCACTGTTCTAAATGCCACAGAACCTGGAAAAGAGAGGAAGACCGTGAACACACACACACACACACACACACACACACACACCAGCCCATTAACAAGCAGAAGACAGCGGGGTAATAGATGAAAATAAAAATAATCCTGATTTGGTCTCTTTTGCAAATTCCTGAAAGGAGAAATGTATCCGAATTTCCAGCCCTCAAGAAATAGGGCCTAAAAAGTCTTGTGAGCCAGAGGGAGGAAAAAAATGAGAAGGGGGCGGGGGACTCGCTCTTCGCAGCAGGAAGTCTTCAATGGCTATCGAGTTATGAAGAAACAACTCTAAACACAAGTCCTCATTCGGAGCGCTAAACTCGCTTTCAGCACATAAAGAGCAATATAAATGCTGGGAGCAGCCCCATCACGGCGGTGGAGAAACAACTCGGCTCTCCCATGTGAGAAAGCCAGAGAGCTCTGACTGGTAGTCGCCCAGACCTGCGTTAGGGGTTTTATTTGCAAGTCAATGAGCCAAATGGACGACCAGGCTAGTTGTGCCGCGTTCTGGAAAGCAAGGTTATTATTATCGCCTATTGCCCCACTGAACAATTTCACTGAAAAGGAAGAGTCGCAGCCGTGTGTGCGCGCACAGTGCCCCACGGGACGTGCAGCTACGTGTCCACCTCCAGAACGACTTTATTTACAAAGCGATTACCATGTTATCTATTTGTTTTCCTTTTCCAGCAACAGCAGCCTTACTCAGCCCTCGAATTTCTTAATTACAAACCCGTTTGCTTCTAAATCAACCCCAAACCGTCAGGCTGAGCCCGGAGGGAGGCTGTGCAAGTTTGCACACACCCCCACCTCCCGGATCAAGGGCAACAGCAGAAGCAAGAAACTGTGTATGTGCAAAAAGGTGGATCTGGGGACGAGGATCGCTGAGTTTGTTTACAGAGCAGAGACGCCTCAGCTCGGATGCCAAAGCTACCAAGAGCTGCAAACGCAAACTTAGCAGAAGAACACGTACCCGGGGAGCGGGGAGCGGGCCCGAAAGCGCGGACCGGATTCCGGGACCCGGGAGCGGAAGCAGCCCAGCCCGCGAGCGCGCTCGGTCCACCTGCAGCCGCAGCTCCTCCCCGCCCCCCGCGCCTGTCCTTGAAAGAAGCATGGGGGTGGGGGCCGGGGTTGCATCTCCACGCAGAACATCTAGCTCAGTTTACCTACTGCCCCTGCAAAAACACAAAGCCACAGTCCAGGAAATCGCGCCCAGGGGAGGGGACACTCTTTGCCAAGGGCTCCACAACTCCGCTCGGGGAGACGCAGCCATTCTTTGCAGCCCGGAAAGGCTCTTGCAAAGCTGGGCGAGCAGAAGAGCGCTAGGAGGGTGGGCGCGCTGGGCGAACCCCCTTCCCGTAGAAGCCAGTCCAGCTCGTTAGGAGCTTTGGGTGGGGGAATCCGGTCATTTTTGGGAGGCGGGGGGGAGAGCTTTCCTCGCATCCCTCCCGGCGGGCGCTCTACCCTCGGCCGCAGGACCCAGGGAGGCTTTTCCCCCGGCGCCGAGGGCGGCAGCGCCGGGGAGCAGCCGGCGGCGGGGCAGCGGGGCGGCGCCAGGGCCGAGCCTCTCTGCTCACGTGCCGCCGGCCGCGGGGACGCGGCTCCCCACCCCGGTCCGGCGCGCGCCGCTCCGCGCTCCGCGTTTTCCCGCCGCCCGCCGGGGAGGCTCTCGCTCCGCCCTTCTTAAAAATCCCTTATATTAACTGTGGCCAAAGCCCGAAGAAACACAGCTCATTGTTGGCAGCTGCCGGGCGGTCTTGCCGAGCTGTGAGGGCAGCGGAGGGGAAATAAAAGGCGAGCGGCTCCGGTCCTGCCCCAGCGGCTGCTGCAAGCCCTCGGCGCCCACTTCGCGGCCGTGAGCGCCCCGCACGCGAGGAGGCCCCTCTATGTGCTGCTGAGCCGGTCCTGGACCCGACGATCCCGCCCTCGATCTTCGGAGCAGAAACCGCGAAGACGGAAGGTGAGCGCGGCGGGCGGCGCGGGCTGGGGCTGCTGCCAGCCGCGTCCTCCGAGGGCTGGGTTGCCCGGAGGAAGCGCGCGAGGCGGAGCTGGGGAATAACAACAGGATGTGCACGCACAGGATGAGGAGGGCTGGTTTGATGCCTGAAGTTCGCGGCCGGGCTGCGGGGCACTTCCTTTATTAGGCGACTTCGGGGCGCAGAGAGGTTGGGGTGCGCGGGTCCCCCCACCCCGGCAGATCGCAGGGGAAGGGGCTTTTTGTGCAGCGCCGGGCTCCGCTGTGGGTGGCAGAGCCGCCGTGGAGGCGCGCCCGGTGCACGGGCTGCCAGTGGGATCCCAGCGATGGAGCCTGGCAGCCGACGTGCGTCCAGAAAAGCTGGGGGGCAGCGGCGGAAAAAGTGGGGTGTGCCGTGGTGGGCGACACGTGTGGCGCGGGGCTTACCGTCCGCCTTTTTCACTTTCAGGACTGGAAATGGCAGACCATATGATGGCCATGAACCACGGGCGCTTCCCCGACGGCACCAACGGGCTGCACCACCACCCTGCCCACCGCATGGGGATGGGGCAGTTCCCGAGCCCCCATCACCACCAGCAGCAGCAGCCCCAACACGCCTTCAATGCCCTGATGGGCGAGCACATACACTACGGCGCGGGCAACATGAATGCCACGAGCGGCATCAGGCACGCGATGGGGCCAGGGACTGTGAATGGAGGGCACCCCCCGAGCGCGCTGGCCCCCGCGGCCAGGTTTAACAACTCCCAGTTCATGGGCCCCCCGGTGGCCAGCCAGGGAGGCTCCCTGCCCGCTAGCATGCAGCTGCAGAAGCTCAACAACCAGTATTTCAACCATCACCCCTACCCCCACAACCACTACATGCCGGATTTGCACCCTGCTGCAGGCCACCAGATGAACGGGACAAACCAGCACTTCCGAGATTGCAACCCCAAGCACAGCGGCGGCAGCAGCACCCCCGGCGGCTCGGGCGGCAGCAGCACCCCCGGCGGCTCCGGCGGCACCTCCGGCGGCGGCGCGGGCACCAGCAGTAGCAGCAGCGGCAGCAGCAACATGCCCGCCTCTGTGGCCCACGTCCCTGCTGCAATGCTGCCGCCCAATGTCATAGACACTGATTTCATCGACGAGGAAGTGCTTATGTCCTTAGTGATAGAAATGGGTTTGGACCGCATCAAGGAGCTGCCCGAACTCTGGCTGGGGCAAAACGAGTTTGATTTTATGACGGACTTCGTGTGCAAACAGCAGCCCAGCAGAGTAAGCTGTTGACTCGATCGAAACCCCAGCGAAAGAAATCAACACCCCCCACCCCACCCCCAACACCCCCAACTACTTCGGTGTGAATTGAAAAACATTCCCTTAGACACAGTATCTCACTTTTCAGATCCTGAAAGGTTTGAGAACTTGGAAACAAAGTAAACTATAAACTTGTACAAATTGGTTTTAAAAATTGCTGCCACTTTTTTTTTTTTTCTGTTTTTGTTTCGTTTTTGTAGCCTTGACATTCACCTCCCTTATGTAGTTGAAATATCTAGCTAACTTGGTCTTTTTTGTTTGTTTTTACGCCTTCCTCACTTTCTCCAGTGCTCAACTGTTAGATATTAATCTTGGCAAACTGCTTAATCTTGTGGATTTTGTAGATGGTTTCAAATGACTGAACTGCATTCAGATTTTCGAGTGAAAGGAAAAATTGCATTAGTTGGTTGCATGAACTTTGAAGGGCAGATATTACTGCACAAACTCTGCCATCTCGCTTCATTTTTTTAACTATGCATTTGAGTACAGACTAATTTTTAAAATATGCTAAACTGGAAGATTTAACAGATGTGGGCCAAACCGTTCTGGATCAGGAAAAGTCATACTGTTCTCTTTCAAGTTGGCTGCCCCCTCCCCCATATGTACAGACAATAATAGGGTGTGGAATGTCGTCAGTGGCAAACATTTCACAGGTTTTTATTTTGTTTCTGTCTTCAACATTTTTGACACTGTGCTAATAGTTATATTCAGTACATGAAAAGATACTACTGTGTTGAAAGCTTTTTAGGAAATTTTGACAGTATTTTTGTACAAAACATTTTTTTGAAAAAATACTTGTTAATTTATTCTATTTTAATTTGCCAATGTCAATAAAAAGTTAAGAAATAACTTGCTTTCTAGAAGTCATTTGGGGGTGGTTGTTCCCTTCGGTGGCTTCTTGTTTTTTGTTTTATTTTTAAGTTTGAACACTACTGATGAGTGTAAGCATTCCAAAGGATAAATTACAGGACACTAAAACAGGTCATGATGAGCTTAAGCAGAGAGCAGGATTTAACATAATTGGCATAATGCTTCATTGTTATCATTGTGACATGCCTCTTGGTGTGGTTTAATCAAAAGCTGCAAAGTTGTCAAAGAGCTCCCCCCCCTTAATTGCCATCAAATTCAAGTGTACTCCAGAGTTGGAAAGAGTTGTACCACTAAATATTACAAAAACTGCTAGTATTATTTTTTTTAGGATGGGAGGGGGAAATTCAGTGTTTCTGGTTATACCTGATACAGCTACTTGAATGGAGATGGATCGGAAAAATATACTGGGAGACTGATGAGGTCGGCATTAAATATAAATCTACCTTTATCTCTAGGAATGAATTTTATTTCTCAACAAAAGTGCTAAATAGAGGCACACTCTAGTTTATCCTCTGAAAGCTTCTTCTGACTGGTTTATAGTTCTAAGAGGAAGAAGACATAGAATTCCAGCTTGAGGCTTTCTGTTTTGTTCTCCTATAATATTTAAAATTTACTCAGGGAGGTGGATTCAAAGGTCAAATTACAATCTTCACAAGATGTTCCCTCTCCAGCATGCCCTGTTTTCCAGAATTCTGAGGCTTTTCTGTTATGGGCAGAGTGGGCAAAGGACAGAAGGATAAGATCATTTTACCTACATGTATTATCAAAAAGAGACATAACTAGAGTTAAGTAGGTGTCAAGTTTTTCCTTACATAATCAAGCATAGGAAAAAGTCAGATTGTACAAATCTCAGATGATCCCAGTTGGGAGGAGAATTTTTATTTGCTTTTCCATGTTTTCCTTGCTTTAATCTTATAAGAGCAACATTGAAGAAAATACATAGTTTTGTATTTCACTTACTGGAGGAGTAAAGAAATGTAGGTTGAGGAGAATCTCACAATAACATTTGAAAAGAGCATTAGATTCTAATCTTCAATCCCACATTACATAATTTTAAAATCAGGAGTGGGGAGGACATAGAGATGTGTTCAATTACAGTGAGTCTGGCACAAAGGTTGATTTCAGTATAATTCAGATCACCTACATTCTATAATTCTATTTCCAAAGCAGGCGATGTAAAATTAAGATGCATACTCCACTGGGTATTTTTATACCTCTATAATTGACACTTCTTATTAAAAATTATGTTCTAAATAAATAATTTCTCTGGGAAAAAAAAAAACACTGAATCATTCAAACTCTTTTCACCCCATTTTAAAAGCTGATCCAGATTTCCCACATTAATAGTTAAAGCTGAAGTTTCCTTCAGTTAAGACATGTCAATACTAAATCTGCAATCAGCAGTAAATCTTCCTGGCTAAGCATTTTCACAGTGAGTTTTGCTTTTTTTTTTTTTTTTTCCAGAGGCACAAGTGAAAAAATATGTTTGCATACATATTAATACAGCAATTCTAGTTCTTTTTCACTTGTGCCAAGAAAAAGGGAAAGCTATGGGAGGCATTGTTTTTTTGCATAAAGACAGAAGCAAAAGAATTGTCTTGCCACCACCCTTCACCATTTATTCTGCCAGGGAATAAGCCACAACACCTGCTCTGTCACTCAATTCCTCCTGCCGCTCTAGGCCGGAATGCGTATGTGGAGATGCAGAGCCCAAGAACTATTATTAGATCCTGAGCCCATCTCTGCCAGAACAGAGGGCTCAAACAGAGGAGCTGGGTTAAAAGCACAATTTCTCTTCAGTACAAATACAAGCCCCTCCCCTTGCCCATTCACTTGAATGATCTCTATTTCATTAAAACCCTTTCTTGATCAACCATTGAGCAGATTCTGTGATATCTGCAGGTCTCTTAAGCAGAGAAAAATAACTCCTTGTTTGAACAACCTGATTAATGAAACCTGTACAGTGACCTAGATCACCAGGCTACTGGCAGACATTTGCAAAACCTTTTGTGGTCTTGCTTCCTACTAAGTTGCTTAGAGCATATGGGGAAATTTGACCTCTGTACCTTGGCTGTTTTTCAAAAAGTTCTAATATGGTACAAGAGAGCTTCTGTTCTTTAAGCTTTGCCCACAAAAAGACACTCCATGCTTGATTTTCAAGAAGAGATCAATGATAAGCAACAGCACAACATCAGAGAAACATGTCAGAAAAATAAGTACACAATAATAAAAACTCGTACCTCTGCCTAGTCGCTACTGAAATCCTGGTGGCAGTGTCTTTGCTGAAACTGATAAAGATGTTACAGCTATGGATGAGTCTTTGAAGAACAGTTACCTAATCACCACTGTTTATGGGGTGCTAGGCTAGAGCACTAGTACCAGAAGGCTGACATCTATTGTGAAGTTTATGGTCTCCATGACTTTTACTACTGTAAACGCCTGGGATAGCTATAAATTGATGTCAACATTAAAGGCCAGATCCTTTAGAGCAAAATATTAATCCACTAATCTATTATGGGTGGCCAGCTTTGAAATATAAACTTTGCAGTCCCGGATGATTAGGTGTTTTCGCCCCCTTGTGGAATTTATTTAGAAGGTCAAAAGGAAAGCTGTTTCCTCAGGCATTTTTTTTTTTTTTGGTATTGTTGCTTATTTTATTGTTTGCTTTTACCATTTCTGAAGACTTCATTTTCTCTCTTGAAGCAAACAGCATATATTTGAGCAGCACGTTTGTTTTTTGTTTTTTGTTTTTTTTATCATGGGATACTCCAAAACAAACACTCTTTACTTACCAAAGACTTTAACCTATGATTAAATGTGCATAATTGTGATTTGCCTCATATTTCAAAATATGCATCGGTCAAGGGATTTTATTTTTAAAAGTATAATGAGCAATGTTTTAGACTGTCTTGTTAAAACTGACACCCTGCACCCTCACAACAGAACTGGTGATTTGGGAAAAGTGCAAATAATAATTCCTTTGATAGCATGGGGTTGGAAAGGTAAAGGGAAATGTCCAGGAATGCAGAATGCAATTATCCACGTTGGAATGCGACCAAGCCACAGGTTCCAATCTTGTGAAAGGGACACAGGATGTTTAATGAGAATGAGTGTCGCTGTCTAATTGATTCAGTAAAATTTACTTTAAAATAAACTTGGCAGATAACATTGTCTCCAAAAAATAAATAAATTTAGAATTCAAGGAATTTAGGGCCCAAGCCATTGGCAGTTTTCTTCTCTCCAACAGTATTGTTTTGCTAGCACAAAAGAGGTGTTACCCACAGCATCAGAGATGGTATTTATCATTTTGTTACTGTACCACTATCATCAGAATCAGGCTCCCAGGCAGGTTGAAGCAAGAGAACAATAGGGAGCACATCAAGTGACTTAGCCAATGAACCCCTATTATCATGTGTTCTGTTTGTCTTTTCCCCCCAGAATAGAGGGAACAATGGCAATGTCAGAATTTTAATTGCAATGGACTGGCTTAAATTACTTGACCTATTTTTATCCAGCAAGGAGAGGAATAATTCTTTTTCCCTGGTAGCCATACTTATCATTTAAATTGGGAAAAGAAATATAAGGACATTTTAATCAAATAATGCACCATTCATAAAGCATCACAGCGTGCCTTATCATAAATAACAACCACCTATATTTTTAAAAGATTTTTAGCCTAAAATAAATTTTTCCTTCACAGGAAGACTTAAACTCATAAATAATGCTCAATGATAGATTAGAAAGATTCTATGAGCTATTGGTGTGAGTTTCTATTTTGCTGTATATAAACACAATGAAAGAAAAAAACTAAGAGAAATAGGTGTCTATGGCATTAAAGAAATGAATCCATGATCCTTGTGAAGGAAGGATCGACCAGACCCTTAGATCCACATTAGTTATTTCTTTCTCCACAAAGAGCGCTAACGTTGTCAGAACCAGCCCCAAAAGATGTTGATGGTGCTTTCTGAAACCCAAGTTTGGCTAAACGAGGACATGCAGAGTGAACTAAGGCAGAAGAAAGATGAAGGATGGGTATGATTACTTGCTTTATACATTGCTGGTTTTCATTAGGTTGAATTAATCTGAAAGATTAGTGAGGCCGGGCACCACATGGGGTGAGGACAGTGGGTCACAGGCCGTTTGGAATTTTCCCATGCCATCACCATTGTGCTCTGCCCTGAAATCCGCCCCTTTCTCTGCTCTACAGTAGAGTGGTTCCTTGATTACATTTTGGTTTGCTGAACAAAGCAGACAAAGGATCCTGGCTCCACAAGGAGCCTGTGGCCAGGCCAGGTCAGTGTGGTGCAATGCAGGAGACATGCAAATAGTGGCTTTTGAAACATTAGTCGTGCTAAAAGAACCCTTCCAAGCCATTCTTGAAAGCTGGGTGGGGAGCAAAGTTTAGACCTGAGTGAACATCAAACTAGTATAAAGTCAGGGAACGTCAGCTGAGGACAGTCAACTTCAGGTTGTGATATTGTTTTAGAAGCAATGGGAGGGGTTGGTATGTCAGAGTCAAGGCCACATAGTCAGGGTTATTGAAGACTTTTCTCTTTGTGTCCCCCGGGGGAATGATAAAAAAATTTGGCCTTGTGATTTCCTTAAGTAACTTGACCATAGCATTTTTTTTTTAATTTTATTTCTGGTAAACCGCTGTTTTGTTTTGTTTTTTCCTCCCCCTTGGCTTCACAAGAGTTGATACCTCCATGCTGACAAACATGTAGTAGTGAAATTGTGCCTAAAAACCCTCAGGTCACCTGGTAAATACTGTCCCGTTACATTTCTTTTGGTTAACTCTTTGAAGAAGGATAATCAGAATGATTCATCCCATATTTCTTTATTACCTAATGTGTTTAGCAAATACTGGCTTGATAGAGCCCGTAGGTGAAAAGTGGTTGAACTGCTATGCTCCATAGACGACCTTAAAATAAATAACTGAATGTGTCTTCTATCTCTGTCTCACGCCAAGTTTCAGATCA